TTACTTCAGGAAGGATCCCAAATATTTCAGAGATCTCCAAAGATCAGGGGATGTGAAGTGTCATCTGTGCTGTAATATTGGGGTGTTGGGTTTGGAGCTATAGTAATTATGTGTGTGGAGGCGAATTAGAAAAACAAACGTGTTTGTTAAGAGATTATTTCAATCATCATTAGTATGAGAGCTGGAGCATTCACAAAGGCCAGAGACCAGTTCAAACTGGTTTTCATAATCCCCACCCACCTAAGTTCTACTAAAGGCATTAATTTAAAAACATTGCATCATGAGGGAAAAAAAATACTCTCACTGGCTGATCAATGAACCTGAGAGCAGGACATTCTCACCTAGAAGTTCTTGTGACCTGATTTTTGCTCTCTACAGCTGAACCCCATTCTTGCTGACCCCAGCCTTAGGAGTGCCTTAGTGCTCTGCTGCTCTATGGAAGAAGACACCTGGGTATTTAGTGAAAATCATCTGGGCTTTCCCTGGTCCCCAAAGGTTAACTTTTGGTGAAGGGGCTTACTGTGACTCCTTTGGGAATGCCTTCCTTTATGATTCTTCAGCAGGCTCTATTTGCTATTGCCCTCAAAGCTGATGGAGGAAGCAAGAGTAGAGGAATGGTGTGACAAGATGAGGGTGGTCTGCAAGTGACTGTGGGTAACGTGAAGAAAGGCAGGAAAAGGATGTCAGAGGAGATAACAGTACGTGGGAGCCAACATTAGACAGGGTATCGACAAGTTTGGGGTAGGGAAGTCTTCATCTGTACTGAAACAGTTACAATTCCAAAAATTTTCTGTTAAAACCAACAGATTTGAGATGCCTGTGTAATGGTTGATTATGGAGAAAAATGGTTTTGTTGAACTTATCTGAATATTGATTTAGAGTAGGATTTTTAAAAGTTATATGATGTTGAGCTAAACCTTCTCCCAGTGTGATTAAAACCAGGGACCACAGCAAAATTTGATCTACTCTATATCCATTCAAAATAACATTGAAACCTGCCTTCCTTCTGCACTTGTCCCCTGGTGGATTCCTCTGTTTGTACCCTCATTTTCAACAGAGCTCTTCTGTGTGATTAGGGAGGCTGACAAGGTGTAATAAGGTAAATTGACCACTTTCTGGGTCCTTTCTTTGAGCATTAGCCAAAATCCATATGGTGTGCTTGGGCAGCTGGGCTTCTGAGTCACAGAATAATGTCATTATTGTTTACTTCAATCCACTTTGATCAACCTTATTTGATCACCTGCACAATTAAAGGTAGACACTTGATTCAGTATCAGTCAGGAGTACAAAGGAGGTAAAGAAAGCAATTCAAATGAGATGGTCCCAGATAGCAGGGTCAGTGGATCAAATGGGAAGGTGAAGAAGAACTTTTTAATGAAGGCTTTCAGAATAATGTTAGTTGCTTAAGTCTTGAATTACTCATTGGGATGGTTCTTGTTAACTACATTTTCATGTTGTATAGACACATATTTATTAAAATTTTAAGTACTATATTGCTGTTGGAACCCATAATTAATTGATTAATTTCTTTATTTCTTTAACGCAAGAACATTATTAGGAAAGGACAGGCCAGTAGTTACACAGCATTGGGTTGGGACTTGGGAGTTTCTACTTCCCTTCCCAGCTCAGTCACAGGTTCACTCTGTAGAAACTTAGCTTCCTGGCTGCTTATACCTACCCACTAAGGCTGATCATCCTTCCTTTCTTAGCTTATACAGTCAGAGCAGGATTCAGCTGCCTTACCATAGGCAAATAATATGATTTTAAAAGTACAATACTGGATGGACAGTAGATGAAGGGGTTCAGGTGAAGCAACCCCTGCTGGCATATGCTTGGGTCAAATCAAAATGTGAAAAAAAAAATTCAGTTAGCACAATGGTATTATCCTTCTCTATTTTCCTGTACAAAGTTCTTGTGTTGTAGTTACTGGTAACAGATATTTGCATCTTCTAGTCATGAAAGAAAAATTTCTGGTAAAAGGATTGGATTGTACAGTGTTGTATGGTGTATACAGATTATTAATACTTGCAATTTATGTGTGCTTAATCACCTTTCCCCATGTTGTAGTGTACCTAGGTAACTACCACTCCTTGAATACAATTGCTGAGCATATCAAAAAAGAAGACACTTTCTGTAAAGTGCAGAGGACTGTTTATGGAAGCTTGCAATTAAGGAACATTTCCATTTTCACTTTGAAGCTGTATAAAGCTGCATCCTGCAGCCCACAGATTTTAAAACTGTGTATCACTGTTACCAAGGGAGGTGCCATAGAATCAAACTGATAAAAAGTTATCCTGTCTTCGTTAGCCTCAATAAGAACTAAAGCAATGCTCAAGGCCATGGAAAGCAACTTTTTATTTTCGTGCCGTCTAAACTCAATGACAAAGTTTGATGTGTCACTTTTATTTTACAGATGAGCAAACTGAAGCCTATCACTGTTAATGATGTTCCCAAGGTCAAAACAGAGCTGCTCAACAGAGATAGCCATCCATCCTTAGTTTTCCAGTGGTTCTCTCATCAGGTGGTCCATCCCAACCTGAAATCATTCCAATATCCTGGAAAGTACTTCAGCAATGGAAAATATTATTGGAGATCATTATTGGAGTCAATAAGAGTATTTTTTCATCTATTTTGGGGGTTGGAAGGAAAATAAAACAGAATGCATACTATTCTTTCACAGTACCCCAATTGGAAATCATCCAGATATTAAAATCTCAGTAAGGTCTTTCATTACTAATATTAACATTGCAGAAACATTCAAGTCTGAAAAGAAAGTCTGTGGTAGACATGTCCATGTAGAAATAATGAAAAACAGGCCTTCTTTTGAAAGGTTCTGGGGCCTAAATAAAGGGTATTTATGTTAAAGCAACCTGTCTACTCTCCTGCCCCTTTTACAGGAGGTCTCAAGTCTTCTATAGGTCTTGTGTCATACCTGTCAACCTGCACACACTGAAGCAGCAATAGGAGATTCAGTTGTTATCGGTGCACCATACATGTAACACACCTGCTACATTTAGTGTATAATTTGCAACTGGCATTGAAACTTAAAAATGGTGATGAGTTCAATATCTGTCATTGCCATTTCTTCCTAATTCCATACTCCATTTCCTGCATATTGCTGCTAGGTTAATATTCTTGTGGTCTATATACCTTACACTTACAAATCTTTGTCTAATTTATGATATAATAGGTATATAGGGATAAAGAATTTTTTATATTTGAAGTAACCTGAGTGTCTGTGAGCTGTAATCCCAGAACAGCTATTACTGCTGCTAAATCGACACAAAATCTCTAATTTCCTTTGAATACTGGACAAATTCAGTCGTTCTGTTGCCATTGAATATAGCAGTTATTGGTTAATTAAGAACTCTTTAAACCTGTTTCAGAATGGTCTGTTCAAAACAAAACAAAACCTATAGGAAGATGTTTGTAAGATGTTAGCAAATGCATGAACTATTATATGGTTCTATTTCTTCTAAAGATGTCAAAATATGAGTTGGTGTGTGGTAACAAAACTGACCTACATGAACTGCGCAGCAGTTACATGGACTTGGGTAATGTAGACTTTGTCGTGGTTTTAATTATCAGAAGGAATAAACCCCATTTGTTAGGTTATTTCAGTATTCTGTACTTTTATTCCTATTAAAATAAATAATAGAGTGAAAGATCTAGTTCAGCATATAAATGATCAGCGTGAAGCTGGTTAACGTGGTTTCATGACTTAGTTTCAGAGTTGAAGTTGTGGCCAGTAGACAGGTGGGATTGTAATGGCTCGTGGCAGTGCGTGGTACACTTGGCATTCATGCATGTCCTCATCATTTTAGTTTCAAGCTGCTGGAGTACCTTATTGCTGCTGCTATAATGAAATGCTAGGGAAATGCCTTGTTAAATTTTAGCTTAGCATTATTAAAAACAAAACAGTAATTATACGGCATCACAAATGAAAGAGAAAACAAGAGGCTTATAACCATTTTGTAACACAGTTCATCCTTGACCACCATGACCTGTCAGTCACGAAGGCTTTGATGAGTAACATAATCTCTGTGTTTGTGACCTTTATAGACAGAATTAGAAGGAACAAGTAAAAAGGAAAGGGGAGGGGAGTTGGGGGGTGGGGGGTTTGGAGTGATGAAATAAAGAGGAAAACAAAGAAGGGGAGTGTCCAGACAAAGTTTATCTATGTTCTGTCTCCATGTTTATCTATGTTTGTAATGACAAAATTACACATGTGAGTAAACAAGTACAAAGGAAAGAGTCGTCACAAATGGGGAAACATATTTCATGTCACCACTCAATCATGGTCTTTGTTGTTAATCGGAAAATATCAGTCAGCTTGATTCATCAGCACTGAATTCCTATTAGAAAAAGTTAATAGAAACAAGCAGTACTTGTTTTCATTTGAACAATTTAAAAGTGTGTGAGAGGGCAAAGAGAATGAGAAGTGAGTGCGCACATGCAGTATGAGCACGTGTGGGAGTAAACAGCTTGCTACTTGTATTCCCACCACCTGCCCGAGGCATTAACTGAGATCCATGCAATACTGAGATAGATGAAGGGACCACATCAGCCAGAGTAGGAAATCCATCAGGGAAACATGTCTATCACATATCCACTCAGTGACATGCAGCTACAGTCAGAGAGAGAAGGTACAGACAATTGGTTTGTCATCCATATACAGGCTGAGGACCAGGTATAAGATTTGGCTCTGGATGGACTTTGGAAGAGCACCGAGTTGATGTGATACGTGGCTGTCAGCTCCATGTGTACTTTATCACAGCACAGACAGTCTGACTTCTGGCACCAAGAGTTGGCATCTGTTTCCAGTGGTTCCAGGCATAACCTCCTGGTTTCCAGTAGGGTCCTAATTACACAATGTTTGCGCTCAGCTCCTCTGCGTGGTCAGAGGCAACAGAGAGGATGTCACAGCTACTCTTCAAATGGCTGAAGATAGTCAGCTTCTTTGGCTGAATAATAGAGATGATCCTCACAAGCCTGTTTCGTCAATATTTGCTTTGTTTCCTCCTTTTTTTTGGTTGGCTCTAATTTTTATCAAGTCTGTTTAATGTTTAACGGCACTAATTAAGCAGAAGATGATGTAGCAGTATAAGTAACAGTGCAGGGAACAACATGGTCAGCTGAATGCAACAGGGCTTCTGATTTTGTAAGTACTACACACGCACTTTTCTTGGAGACTTGCAAACGATGATTTCTGTGGTTGGTGGAATTTTAATATTAGGTTGATTTCATTTGTCTGCTTATGATTTGGTTCTGTGCGGATGTTGCAATGGGAGATTAATCAAGCAGATGTGCAAGGGACCAGTGGGACCTGCTGTTCTGGGGGAATATGCTTAGCCTGAAATCAAACTAAAATAACCTTTGAAGTCATGGGGACTTATTAAATAGTTGTCAAAACAGAATACTGATGTAATCACCTTTTAGGTTGGAACAGCCTTCACAGTGACTCAAAATTACTATAATCCCACTATTGACTGAACAACCAGGTCCAATTTATAAACTCTTTTGGTGACTTAATTTATAAAACAACCATTGAATTGCTAAGGCAAGGCTTTCTAATTAGGACTGGGGTGAGTGTAATGGGGGGTGGTGGGGAGGGAAGGCCACAGTTTAAACTTAATTGCTCCTTTTGTTCCCATAGACAAACTAACATGTGGTCTGGAAGAGAATTATTTTCTGAATTTCCAATTTGCATTAAAAGTACAGCTAGATTTAGTAAAGCCTTTCTATTTTCTTCAGATTCAGTTAACAAAAATATTTGTGTGTGAAATTTTCTAATCTCAAAATATTGAAATTAATGTGATTTCATCTCTAAATGAAAAGTATGATAGGAAAACTCAATGACAATATTCAGTGTTTTCCAGCTTCTGGTAGAAATACTTCTTTCAGATTTCTGTAGAGAGCTCTGATACTAAGAAAAGTTTTTTACCTGGTCTGGTGTAGTAGAAGCTAAAAATAGAGCCATGCCTAATACAAGCTTGCTGCAGAAAAAAACCCCAAACCATACTCTTTGCTTCAGAAATTCTTTGAAATTCAGGCTAAGCTCTGTTTGGAACAGGAAGTAAACATGGACAGATACAAATTATCTTCTTTCTCACTTGAGTGTGCAACATCTCAAATATGTAGAGAAAACCATCCTACAACATGTTAAACATCAAGTAGTTTTGAAACACCCTGTGTACTACATTATTACTTAATTTTTCCACAGTACATAAGGGTTGTTTGGGTTTGGGGGTTTTATTTGGCTGTGAAGAACAGGGAGAGTTCTAAAAGAGATGCAAATATTTGAATCATATTCCCATCTAGAGCCATACTCCATCTTTTGGTTTAAGAAAATTCAAATTTAGTGTCACCACTTGCTACTGCAGTGGACTGTCATTGTTCCTCTCTGTCTTCTCTTACGCTCACTCAGCATACTCATATCTAAGCAAATATGAGAACACACAGCTAGCATATATGTTTGCTATAAAAACAAGAAAGATCATCAGTTAAAAAAATAAAACAAAATCCTTGAACTTGTGCTGCCCTCAGAAACTCTATCTAAATGTTTAGATAGTATATATAATCATCTTTCACATCTGGGAATGAATGTAGGACCAAGACAACTTTACCTTGGCAAGACATTGGAAAATATGTTCTTGGAAGAAAAGGCTACAAATAGGCTGTGTTGGCTGGAAACAAAAAGAGGAGCCATAACAGTAGAAAAGTTCTAGAAATATTTTCATGCAGAAGCTACAAGAGTAAAAAGCTTTTTTTCCTTCATAGCTTGTTACAGTTCTGAAAAGGGTTTATATGAGATGCCTCCAGAACAGCAGGGAACTGAATTCAGTAAACCAGAGACTTGTTCCAGCTCCTGCGGAGAGCAGGGGCTCACATGTAGGATATCACATCAGCATCAGGAGAACAAGCATAACAAAGAAACTTACCATCTCCAAAGAAATTAATCTATGTCCTTTGACTTCCAAATAGGATCAGTGGTCCTCTTCCTCTTGGACCCAGGTCTTTCCCACATCCCGTGCAAGTTAACCCATTGGTGAGGGGCAAAACACCATTTAACAAATTACAAATACTTGTTGTAGCCTCCCCAGAAAAGGTTCCTTCACTCCAAACATGCACCTCATTATCTGATGCAAACCTGCTGCTTCCCACATGTCTTTGTGCCCACTTCTGTGTGCACTGCTGTCATGTCATAGGATGCTCCAGGCTTTTGCCTTGAGTTTTGCCTTGAAGTTCATGCCTTTCTTCCCCCACCAGCTGTGGTCAATGACTGGCCATGTGAGTTAGTAAACAGGGCCATGAGGTAAACAGAGGTGTAAATTTAATAAGCACCAGATAGTCTGTGATAGCTGTCTGTCCCTGTGCTGCTGCCCTGGTGGAAGTGAGGGAATTTGCCCTGCTTCCAGTGAGTAGTGAGATGCCTCACATTTCCTCACATTTATCACATTGTTTTGGGGCAGGTGCTGCGGAATATTTGAAGTCTTTGAAACTCACACTCTGTCTTCCCTCATGGTAACTTATTTGTTTAGATGTACCCTATGGGAGACAATGATCATAGTAAAAAAATATCACTGTTAATTGAGATTATTGTGGACTTTAGCTCTATGTTTTCATAGCCAATGTATCGCAGTGAAGAAAAGTCTTGCCTTTTCAGGCCAGTTACAATAAAATATGATGGTTTTATTATGCTAACATTTCAATCTATAACTTGGTTGAATTTATTAATTAAACTTGACATTGTACCCATGAGAACTTTAAATATCATGTGTATATGAGATATTTACAGTTGCACTATGTAATATTTATGATAACAAACTATTTATTATTCCTTATTACCAAGCACATCATTACCATCTGCTCATTTAATGACTGTTTATTTTGTGACAGAATAATTTGAAAAGAAGATGAAGTGTCTCCTGTGCCTGTGTTTACTCCTTGCTGCTCTTTGTGCTGTAACCCATTGTCACCATGAAGATGTTTGCCATGAAGTCAACAATACTAATCTGCAAGATGGAACAGAAAATTTATTGACACATAAGTGTGACAAGCAAGGCTCTAACTATGCAGATTTTGTATTTAGATTTTACAAGCAAGCTATATCAAAAGAAGCTGATGAAAATGTTTTCTTTTCTCCCATGAGCATCTCCACTGCATTTGCCATGCTGGCTGTTGGTGCTAAGTCAACCACCCTGTCTCAGATTTTTGGAGGACTGGGCTTTGACAATCTGACTGAGGCTCGTGTAGGTGATATACATGACAGTTTTCACAAAGTTTTATCAGTAATGAACTGTGCTGATGCTAATATCACAGTAAATATAGGGAATGCCATTTTTACAGCTACTGGATATGAACCACAGGAGTCATTTTTACAAAATACCAAACAATTTTATGATGCAGATTTTTTTCCTAGTGATTTCCATAAACCAGAAGAAGCTAAGAAGCAAATCAATAAATACGTAGAGGAGAAAACTAAGGGGAAAATCCCTGAATTAGTTGGTTATCTTGATCCAAGTACTGTACTAGTTCTAGTTAACTACATTTATTTTAAAGGTAAGATATTTAACATAATATTCCAGTACATAGTTTTGATATAAAATAAAAATTTTAGGGAACCCTTGATCATTTGTTACCAGAGTGACTATTTAGGAAAGAGCTGAACTGTGCAAAACCTTCAAAGTAGAGATTAGATCTGGCCAAGAGCAGGGTATCTGATTGTTGAGAAATACTGATTGCTTAATTATGACCCAGTGTGCGTGAAAGCTATAGACAGAGAAGTCCCACTTTAGTGGACCTCTCATAGACAGGGATCCACTGCACATAGTCTCACTGGTCTGAGAGCATAACGTCTAAAGATGTTTCCAAGATCTCTATGCTTACTGTATGTGCCAGTCAAATTTGGTGGACTGATATTCTTGCACAAGGTCCCCAGTTTTATGGTAGATCCATGCATGAAAAATTGGGACAGAGCATTTTGAGGGCCTGTGTCTCTGGATTCTTGCTCAAATGTAAAGACCCTTTAATCTGCTGATGAATTCCTCACCAGGCTGAGTGCCATCAACTTGGGTAGGGGTATAACCTAAAAGGAAAGGCATGAGAAGAAGTTCCTGTGGCTGAATGTTTAAGTGATTGTATTTAAATGGCATGAAAGGCATTACATATGGCTACAGTAGAAGAAGTCTCAATTGGTCCTCATCAGCCATTTGTTGTTTTTCAGCAAGATAGGATTTACTCACACTTACTATGCTGAGCTTACTGCACAGCTAGAATTGCCTTATTGTATGTTATGCAGGAGGTTGAAATTATTCAGTGACCATATTCTCCCATAAATAGCCATCCGTTGTCCTCCATTTGAGTTGGTCTAATTTAGATGAGCCATTTCTTATGATCATCACATCTGAGTCCAATATCTTCTCTTTTCCCCCATTAGCTGCCTGGGAAAAGTCTTTTGATCCTTCGTGTACCTATGAGGATGATTTTTTTGTGAACACAAATGCATCTGTTAGAGTCAACATGATGCAGCGCGACAGTATCTTTAATGCTTACTATGACCAGGATCTCTCCTGCAAGGTGATAGAGCTGCCTTACCAGGGCACTGCCCGAGCATTGCTCATTCTGCCTGATGATGGAAAGATGAAGCAAGTGGAAGATGCTCTCTCCAAGGAAACTCTTTGTAAATGGGATGACAAACTTACGACCAGGTAACTCTAGATAGATGGATTACTGTATTTGAGGACAATTCACTGTTTTTAAAAGGAAATGCTAAATTCAGATCACCTCCTACTGGATATAATGTCCTGATTTCATAAATGAAGCAATTCCCCAAATGAGTCAGAGCAGAGCATAACTGCTAAGAAACTGCAGGCTCTCTGACCTGATAGAAAGGGTCACAGCATTGTAACAACTCCCTCAAGACTTGCTTGGCTGCCTTTTGACTACCATACCTCCTCTTTCTTTTGTTGTGGTGCCAACACAATTCATTTGCTTCACCATGAATTTTATCATGACAGATTTTATCCTTGTTTTCCCTTATTTTAGGCTTTCCACAGTTGGTCTGCTTATTCTCTGTAACTCTCTAGCCAAAAACTCTGCTAGCTGTGTACGTGGCACTGGAATGAATGAGTGGCAATGAAGAAATTTGTTTCTTTTCCAAAAATCAAAAGGAGAATGTAGGAACAAGAAGATGGAGCATCTCTCTGGATGCCAAGATTGCTCAAGGAATACAAATGCTACCATCAAACAAGTCTGCAATCAAAAGAATTCTTTCAAGTGTCATTGAATAGCATAGTATCCATCCTGCTGGCTGAAACAGGCCTGGAATGTCTCACTGCTCTTTTGTTTTCTTTGATCAACAGGAGATTAAATCTGCATTTACCGAAGTTTTCTATTAGTGGGTCTTACGATGTTAAAAACCTGTTTGAGAAAATGGGCATTACTGAAGTGTTCTCAGGTAATGCTGATCTGTCTGGAATTAGTGGCAGCCATAATCTCCAGGTTTCAGAAGTAAGTGCTGGTGATGGGGTGGTGGTTGGTTGTTTTGATCAATTGTGTCTGGGGTTTTTAAAGACTTTCTTCCCCTCCTTTTATTATTGAAGTTATAAATAAAACTCACAATGACACGTATGAACTTGCTCAGTAATTGTGCTTTTCTACAGAAAGAATCTGCCGGATCACTTATGTATTACTTTAATATTGCTATTAAAAGGCTGGATATTAAGTACATGGAAAAGTTGAACAACATTTTAAATTATTTCTTTGCACTCAAATATAATATTTTATATGATATTGTGTCAAGTAAGCTGTAAATGAGGAGCACATTATGATCTTTGTGTTGATGAGTACCTAACTTTTTAATATTCTCAAAGTTTCCAGGAGACTTCCAGTTTGCAGAAGCAGAATTTCATATATCAGTTTAAGCTATGATTTAGTGTGATGATGCCAAATACTACCCCTGTATTAGCATTTAAATAGCAATCTTTCATTATCCTTGGAATAAGAGAGTGTTGCTATTGGAAGTCCAAACCATCTAAGAAAGTAAACTAGCTTGTACATGGGCTGTTACTATCTCACTCTACTCAGCACTAGTGAAAATAAACTTACAGTTTGTCCATGTTTAATTTTGGCCCTCCTTATTCAGTCCTGACATAGAAAACACTCCTGTTTCAGACCACTGGAGATTTACCATAAAAGAAAGTTTCATGCACTGGATTTATCACTCCTTTCTTCTCCTAAATATTCCATAAGAAGAGAATTTATTTTACCTCCTTCCTCCTGTCCCATATATAAACCACAGCGTTTTCTTCTTTCCCTTGCAGGCAATTCACAAGGCCCTGCTGGAAGTTGATGAGGCTGGAACTGAAGCTGCAGGAGCCACTGCCATAACCATGAACAGAGTTCTGTTTCTTTCAGATACCATCAAATTCAACAGGCCCTTCATTATTTTGATCTCTGGCAAGCAAACTGGCACTACACTTTTCATGGGGAAAATTGTTGATCCTACTAAAAAGTAATTGCTGAGTTTTTTGGCATATTGTTATTGGCCACACATTATAATGGGCACAGTGTTTGTACACGTGGGCTAGTGAGTGCTACTAACTACTCTCTGACTGAGGGATATTCAGAAATAAATGAGGAATTTACTTGTCAAATTAATAAGCAAAACAGTTGTAAGAAAACCACATCAAGTAAGGCTTTTTAAATGTAACACTTTCCCTAATTGAGTAATTGTATTGGGTTTGAATGGCAAGGTTTTGGTAATGGGGGTGGGGCTACAGGCGCTTCTTTGAGAAGCTGGTAGAAGCTTCCTTCATGTCCAACAGAACCAATGGCAGCTGGCTCCAGGACAGAGCTGGCACTGGCCAATGCTGAGCCCATCAGAGATGATAGTAATGCTTGTGTGATAATATATTTAAGAAGGGGAAAATAAAAGTTATTTTGCAAAAGTAATTGTAGCCAGAGAAGAGCAGAGTGAGAACAAGTGAAAGAAACAGCCCAGCAGACACCCAGGTCAGTGCAGAATGAGAGGGAGAAGGTGATCCAGGTGCCAGAGCACAAATTCCCCTGCAGCCCATGATGAAACCCTGGTGAGGCAGCTGTGCCCCTGCAAGCCCTGGAGGGATGCAGCAATCCACCTGCAGCCTGTGTAGGAGATGGGTGTCCAAAGGAGGCTGTGACCCCATGGGAAGCCCACACTGGAGCAGGCTCCTGGTAGGAGCTGAGGACCCCTGGAGAGAGGAAACCATGCTGGAGCAAGTTTGCTGGCAGGACTTGTGATCCTGTGGGTAACCTGGGATGGAGCAGCCTGTTCCTGAAGGACTGCACCCCTTGGAAGGGACCCATCCTATAGCAGTTCATGAAGAACTGTAGTCCATGGGAAGCACTCACACTGGAGAAGTTTGTGGAGGACTATTACCTGTGGGAGGGACCCTATACTGGAAAAGGAGTAGGACTCCTCTCCCTGGGAGGGAGCAGCAGGAGAAACAAAATGTGGTGAACTGACCATAAATCCCATTCCCCATCTCCCTGCACAGTTGGGGGGGAGAAAGTAGAGCCTGGGAAGGAGGGATGGGTAGGGGGAAGGTGTTTTTAAGATTTGTTTTACTTCTCATTATCCTGCTCTGGTTTTGATTGTTAATAAATTAATGTAATTTCCCCAAGTCAAGTCTCTTTTGCCTTTGATAGTAATCTCTCCCTGTCCTTATCTCAACTCATGAAACTTTCATTATATTTTCTCTCCTCTGTCCACTTGAGGAAGGAAATGGTAGAGTGGCCTTGGTGGGCACTTGACATGCAGCCAGGTTAAAAACACAATTGAAGTTATTGTTCTGTCTTCCAAATTTTCCTTGAAAGATAACTTTTTTTAAAGTATGTTGTTATTTTTCAAAGTGAATTCTCTCTGCTAAGGAGTTTTGTTACTCACTAAACCCTTTATCCCTACAGGTAGTAAGTCTTGTAATTCTACTATGTCTTTTCCAGAACTTGATGATGACCAGTATTCACCTGAGCTGGCCCCTACACAGTCCTTTCATCTTTACATTGCTCTTTGCTGCTTAGGCTGTTTATCCTCAACCAACCTATTCTTTCTCACATGTTCCAACTCTTTGCCTAGGACCTCTTAAAGAATCATTGACCAAAAAAGGAGAAAAATCTGTGAAACAATAAACTTATTCTGCTGCAGCTCTCAATGTGTCTCTTTGCAGTTCACGAGGTCAGCAAAAAACTTTGAGACAGTGACATTAGGCATAACATAAACTATCAGAGAATTGTCCTGTGACAAATGTCAAGCATGATTATTGCTATGGCTGACAAAATAAGCATTGCAATCTAAAGCCATCACTTAAGAAATTACTCCAGTCTCTTGCTATTATTCTAGATATCTTTTGAAATCAACAAAAACCTTCAGTCATTCTTAAACATATCAGGATGTCTGTAAAATATGTTTTAAAGTCTGTTAAATGAGTACAACTTTTCTCATATGGAAATTGCAATTCTTTACATTCTCTCTTTATGTACCTATTTGGGTAAAACCTGTTTTCAAGAAATACATAAACACTTCCTTGCTGTTGTGGGTCTGTTCCTCCCTCTCAACATCTCTCTGGCCTTCTGACATGTTCTCCCAAATTTGGTCACCCTACATAAAGGTGCTTTACTGAGGCCCATCAGTGCTTGGAGCATGGGTTTGGTGTTTCTGACTAAGGGAGACTTGGGGATTGCTACTGTGTATGAGCCCATTTGCACCACGTAGCAAGAACTCTGTGGAAGCCCTGAGCTATTGCTTCTTCTGGGATGAGATGCCATCAGGCAGCGGACTGGGAGAGAGCACACCTCTGTGCAAAGCAGTGGCTTTTAGAGAGTTGAGATCAATGATAACTTGCTGTGGTGTGAGGCAGCATGCTCTGTGATGGCCAAAAGCTGGGAGCAGTTCCCATGAGATCCCATTCTGATAAATCTGTGCACCAGAACTGACTAGAAGGTAGAATGGTGAGATTTTTATCAGGGTGCAGTGGCAGAAAAACAGGTTCTTGGCCTGCTACTAAAAGGAAAGAAGTTAAGAAAAATCCCATGGTTGCTAGGACAGAGCAAAGGCTGTGGGAAATAACACATGGAACAACTTCCTGCCCTATCTACCTCCCAGGCTTTACTTTTGAGAGCAGAGGCAAGGAATGGCAGGACAAGAGCTGCATTGGGAGTTTTCACACTGGACTGTGGAGAGTGACTGGTCCTGGAAAACGTATCAGATGAGATACCTTTGAATGCTGGTTTGGGAGTTATCTACCATGATCTGAGGCATTACCACAGTTGTCCTCCAGTTGACAGCTTCATGCTCCAGACCAGCAGGTTGGCCTGAGTTGTGGCAGGGACCTGTGGTGGGAAGAGGGATCACCCCACATCTCTCTGGAAGGGAAAAACTAATTAGTCTTGTGCTATACATACACTGAAACCAGAAAAATGTCTATAGTTCACACTATAGGGATCTATAGAGTCTGGACACTGAACATGCCTGGCTGATGTTACTCTCAGCATTGTTCTAATGATATTCTTTAGGAACTGGACAATTCTGCAAAGTTTTTGTAGGGATACAGGGCATTTTGTCCTAATTCCAAGAAATCTGTCTTAGTATGCCTTGTATTAATTGTCCTTGTAGCTGCTGTTTGTCTTTATGTTATAGGGAAAGTTCCTCTTCATAATACTAGAATTCTTAATGGTAGAGAAAGAAAAGAAGGATTCTGGTAGACATAAATGACTAGAATTTTCATTTGTAAACTGTGTATTCATTCTATCTGTGGCAAATACATGTATTGTATGGAGTCTCTCATTCATCTGTAGGTGATTTTATTAATACTCTTTAATATTCCTCTACAATTGCCACTCATGCATTTTTTCAGCTTATGGGACAGCTGGATCCAAACTAAGGCCCTGAAAGAGAACTAGACCATTTTTATAACCTAAAAGTGTAATCCAGTTGACCTTCTGCAGTGACAGTCAGCAGAAGGGGATAATAAAGCTTACAGTGAAGTACGTGACCCCCACCATGAACGTCCAAGATAAATGACCTGCTGTGGGTCTGTTAGCTCTGACCTGACATGCTTATATGAAGCTCTGAGGAAAAAGACTTACCTGAATAGAGCATATCTCAGATGATAATCTCTGTGAATGAAAATAGATCCACTAGGCTGGGTCCCTGAAAGTCAGCCTAGCTGTGCCCCAGCAGACCTGAGTGCCAGACTTCTCCTGGCAGACTATGAACCATGTGGGAGACTGTAAATTTGTTCTATCTGACCTTGTTTATGGTCCACTGGGACTCAGCTTGATGATAGCATAGCTTCTGTCAGTAACTTTCTGTTTGCTTTGCCTCGTGACAGAGTCCAAGTAGAATGTTGTTACAAAACATGAAGCAGTAGGATTGCAGGACTAACCCAGTATGTGTTCAATGCATTTTACCTTTCATCAGTAAGGAGAGGAGTTGACTTAATGCTTAAAGGCACAAAGCATTTGGATAGTTACAGAAGAACCAGTTGCTCACATAAGCCCTGTTTTTCAGCTGCTACCCCTACTTTGGACTTTCTTATTCCTGGCTGTGCAATTTGAGTCTCAGCCTTGGTATCTGAAGAATTTTCCCATGAATGGGCATAGCGGTCTTCTTGCCACAGCTGTGTCATCTGCTCAGCCTTTGATCGCTGCTACTAATTCAACGAAATTGGAATTCACCTAGATGTAAGCCAACTCTACTCTGATTGTGTTAGTAGATTCAGTACAACAAAAGTTGTAGGCTTTTTCCCTTTACTCACACTCATTTCAGGCAGAGAATCACCAAGCTCTTAAAAATCAGATGATTGTGATAATTCCTAGGCAGGGCTGTTTTTGAAAGGGTATTCTGGGAACTGGGAGTACCTGTAGGCTGATACGAGTCAGTCTCAGTGCCTCACAACCTGGCTGCTTATCTTTGACAAGAGTCTTGGTAGCTTTTAGTGGTACAAAAAAACCCCTCATAGCAGTGTTAATCCCTACCCATCATTCAATTCATACCCCCATAGCACAGAGGCACTAGGATTTCCAAGCAAAGAAAAAGCACAAGAAAAACACCAACATTCTAAAATGCAGATATTTCACTGAAAACTCTAAATATGCACTGCAGTGGAAGTTAGAACAAGTGCAAATTATCAAGAGGGAAAGGAGCATTGAGGACTGCCGTGGGCTATGTATCTCTGAGTCCTGTAACACACCCTCTGTATCTTACCCATCCATACAACATTCCTTGTTGGATATTGCACATCTGCCCTTACTCCATGAAGGCAGCATAGGGCTGCTTTCATTAGATTTAAACTGAGCATATATATAATATCATTCATGCCCTTTAAACTGTTAGTCAGCAAAGACTGATCTAGAAATATCTTTCACTAAATTCCCAGTCCCGGGTATAACACTGAATACATTTTTATATAATTTGGTAATTGTGCTTTCCTCAGACTAAGAGTTTTAAAGAAAACTATAATTCACCCATTTCATGTAGGTGTCCTTGATTATGATGAATACCCTGGTTACACAAAGTCAGCTCAACATTGATGCTGCTGCAAATGACTTTGCTGGCTTCTTGAAAAAAAGAATTTCTATGATGAAAGTGCCTTTTCAGTTCAATCATATCCCTGGAGATTAATTTATTACAAGTGAATTAACCTTATTTATACAAATGAGCCTTTGTTTCTCTTATGTGTATTGCGTTGAGTTTCTTTTCCATAAACCATCTGGAAACAAAATTCTTATGACTTATTACTTAACTAAACAAGAACATATCCTTTGTGGTTGGAAAACTGTTAACACCAATATGATGCTCGTACAGAAGGTCTGAAGAAGACTTTGTCCAACTTTGGCAACTATCTTATTAAGGAAAAGTTACTATATTGTTTACCATGTTTCATGTAGGAAAAACAAACCACATGGAAGATGCTCTGATCAAGAAAAATGTTTGAAAGGAAAAAATAACATAGAATAAAGTGACACAATCATAGAACCAGGTTGGAAAAGAACTCCAAGATCATCAAGTCAAACCTAAGTGTTCTAGTCATCATAAGAACTTTGGTTGCAGCCAGGAAAGAACCTCAGAGCAGGAGAAAACGTCTGTGCACAGAGGAGGTGAAAGATGTAATGAAAAGTCCTAATGCATATGAATACTGTTAGGTTTGCTGTTGTCACAGATACAGATTCTCTAGACACCAGAAAAACCATACCATAACTCACATCTTCAAGGGACAGATATTAGAACTTATATACTGTTCCTCTATCTTTCAAGTCTAAGCTGTGTCCCCTGGGTAAATCTTATGGGTGAAATTCTAAGACATTTTATGCCTCAGTTGCCCCAGGCAGAGCTTACTACCTCGTGCCCATGCCTGTCATTGTGCTGCGTGTCATAGCCCTGACATATTCACAGTTATGTCAAGAGTGACCAAACAGAGGCATTAAATAGAAGCAAATATGCTCTAGTACTTCTGTACACATCTAGCTTGTCAGGTTGTGAAAGATGGTGCAGCAATCATGACAGAAAGCTCATGTAGGTACAGCCTAGATCCCAAAGTGTCCTGTGGAGGCATGCTAATGCAAGTCATTGTTGGAACTGGAATTGTGCTGACCTGCCAGATTATGATCTGCAGAGGCTAAGAGC